GTGGTTCCATTTTCTCGTGCTAATTAGGTGGCCCTTAGGAATGGTCTGTGATATGGGAACCTCACCTCGCTGTGTTCAGTAGGCAGGCTGCCCTCCAGATTCCCAGGAATCTCTGCATCCCCTTCGTTCGTCACTGGTGAAATCAAATCCCAGAGTCCATTTCTCCTCGTATGTTGATTCCCACTCCTAGCGGTGATTTAGGGCAGAGTAGAACTTCCCCACTGGGTTTTCATGGGGAGTAAATCTTTTCAGATGGTGACACCTGTCTCAGAACAACCGGTGGGTTCAAACCGCTCACCTGTGAGTCGAGCACCTGAGCCTTTAACCACTGCCTCATCAGTCTCCCCACCAGTCAGGTAGCCTTTCTCAGAGGTTGGTATGTTTGGGCTTGTTCTGATGTACCTTCTAAAATGATTTGCCCAGTTTAAAATCTGCTGTCATGGGAAGGGAGACCTAATGACTAAACTCTGACTCCAGAAAACGACCAGCTGAGAGGCTTTATTGCCTGGTCTTCATTATGGAGCTTGGACTCTTGGATAATCATGAGTCATCTTGTCCTAAGAACAGATAAGAGTCAGCTTTTGACGATTTACCTTAATCATATTTGCAAACCTGTTTTTTGGAATGTTCTTTATCTGAACATCACTTAGGAAAGATACTTAAATAGGCCCTTTACTTTTCCACCACAGTAAACAGTTACTCATTATGTGTGGGTTTCACCATTAGAATATAGAGAAATTGACTTGGGTGCTGTATATAAAGGTGAGTGATTTGTACACTTTTCTGTGTATATGCTATGTTTCAATAAAAACAGTTTGAAAAATAAAAGAATGTAGAGAAATTGCTTTCTTTCACTGTATTGGTGACATTATGCCAATTGTATTATTCTAGTAGCGTTTTTAATTAACTTTTTTCAACAGTTTTTTAAAATCATTTTATTAGGGCTCATGCAATTCTTACCACAATCCATACACACATCAATTGTGTAAAGCACATCTGTACATTCATTGCCCTCATCATTCTCAAAACATTTGTTCTCCACTTAAGCCCCTGGCATCAGGTCTTCATTTTCCCCCTCCCTCCCCGCTCCCCCCTCCCTCATGAACCCCGGACAATTTACAAATTATTATTTTGTCCTATCTTGTCCTGTCCAACGTCTCCCTTCACCCACACCTCTGTTGTCTGTCCCCCAGGGAGGAGGTCACATGTAGATCTCTGTAATCAGTTTCCCCTTTCCAACCCACCCTCCCTCTACCCTCCCAGTATTGCCCACCACTCACACCACTGGTCCTGAAGGGATCATCC